TCCCTACTGTAGCTCTAATGTTCTCTGTTGAAAATAATTACATGCCAGAAAAGCAAAACCTTTTTTAATTTCATCCGCACAAGTTCAGTCCGCTCTGTTTGGACGTTCATAGATGCTCTTTCAAAATCTGAAGTCCCAGCTTCATTTTTTGCGATGATTTAAAGCCATCAAAACACTATCAAATCAGCAGTCAGTCCTCAGTTTGTCTGTAAAAACAAGTGGCACACACACAAACTGGCAGCTCAGAAAGGGACTGAAGTTTTTCTTTTAGACCATTTGCCAGAAAAGGTTTACCCTAAAAATCAAACTTCTTTCATATTTTTCTCTTTTCATACAATTTTTTCTGTTGAACTGGGAAACCCCCAATTCCCAAGACAGCGTGCTGGCTATTCTAGTGCAGAYTGAGATTTGTAGCCTTAGTAGTGTGTGTAAGTCCCATCCAGATTTATAACATTACACATAAAYACTGTTTTGTAGGACAAATAAGTTCTAGCGTGTTAGATCTGGATTTCTAACTTGAATTTGGCACATTTGGATCGCAATATTCTCAGTTTTGATCACTGCAATGYACAGGCTGTTTACTGGATGTGATGACTAACACCAAAATAAAACACTAAATATAAAGTCTGAAAGTTACTTATTCAGATATTAAATATAGCTTTTGTGGATTTATCTAAAGGCTGCGTGAAAAAAACATCAGGGAATCTTTATTTTTATTGTTGCTTTACTTTCTGTCATGAATTTTGAAGCTTCATAGGTGAGGAGTCAGTAGCAGCAGGCGCCCCCAGCGTTCTAACCGACGATCCGACTTGGATCATTGACCCCATCGATGGCACCACCAACTTTGTTCACAGGTACTAATAACCTCTCCTCTTTTAGAAGCCTTGTAACTGTACTGGATTGAATTTTTAATCTCCGTCCCTCCTGTAGCTATTTTTTATCTTTTAATTAGCTCCCTTTTCTTGGATTGTCCTCTCTTGGATGGCTAATTAGACAGCCCAGATGAAACTGAGCTGATAATAGAAACCGACTCCTCAGAGCTTGAATCTAAAGGGAGCTTATTTGATTTATGTTTTTCTTGTACATTTCCATTGCTTAGGTTCCCTTTTGTGTCCGTATCAATCGGCTTCACTGTGAAGAAGGAGGTAAGCGTTAATGTGTGCAAATCCCACACGTTTTTCTGCTGTGCTTTCTTGGTGATCACAGACATTACCCCCATTGTCATCTTAAGAATTCTGTAAATTTCCACTCTTACATAGCTGCTGCTCTATTTATAACCCTCTTCCTACTTTGCATTAACCATTGCAGTTTTCTGTGCTGCTTTTTGGTCYCAGATAGAGTTCGGGATTGTCTACAGCTGCATTGAGGACAAAATGTACACGGCACGGAGAGGAAAGGGAGCATTCTGTAACGGAGTTCCAATCAAAGTTTCCGGGCAAGAAGGTGAGTTCTGAAGCTGTAAAACAGACCAGGTTTTAGAGCTGCAGTTTGAAACAAAGCCACTAGGTGGAGCTGAACTACTGCTTTTGATATAGTTTGTTCAGCGAGGGAATAAAGCAGATAAATGACTTTATTTATTGGTTCCCTTGCAGACATTAACCAGTCTCTGGTGCTGACAGAACTGAATTTCAAGAGGGAGACGGAGCATTTCAACACAATGTTGGCCAACGTCAGGACCATCCTTACCATACCTGTTCATGGGTAAATGTTTGTACTCACTGCTAGCCTCTGATCTGTGGGTGTACTGATGGTTTTAGATGTGAGGGGAAAAACAAACAACCGCTACTTCACTTTTTAATTATCATTCATAACTGGGCTGCACCGATTGCAGATTTCTGGTCAATCACAGATATATAAGAAGCTTGACCTGGCTATTCTGCTTTTTTATTTTTATTTTTTACAACTGACACTGTCAGGTGTTATAAGGTCACAATACATCTTCAGTGTTCCAGTCTTATTTTATTAAAAACATTGAACAATACCCTTGAAACCATACAAAGTCTCTTTTTACTGGACATGAGGTAGAGCTCACAGCAGAGCAAAAAATGGAAAGTGGCTGATTTTCAGAACTTTGCAGAAGTAGATAAGATTGATGGATAAGATCGGCTTCTTGTCTAATTATCTCCCAAAATTAAGGAAATCAAGGCTGCTGATTTATTGATGCACCCCTAATTTAAGCTCAGCCCTGTCCACTGTAACAGACACTCAAATATGATTTTACTTAAATGTTCTCCTTTCATAAAAACACATCAGTAACACCTTTCTGCGGTTGTAAAGCTGCTCGATTTGGTAAAGTTAAAACTACCGGTAGGCAAAAATGACCAAAATGCTCTCCAAATGCTCGTTTTTTTGGTCATTTAATCTGGTCTTTGCTGTGCTTTGGGACCATCACGTTGTGCTTATTTTGGCTTCTTTGCAGTAAAAGCCACCTGGTGGTCATTTTGCTGCTCTGAGACCGAAAATTAGCATCGCAAGCTGTAATTAAAGAGAAAATAGAAACAGTAACGATGTAATTTAAATGCATTACAGCGGCTGGACTCAACTAAGACAAATACAATTCCTGAATGTGATTTAAAAAAAGGCTTGTGAGATTTGATTGAATGGAATCAAGATCTGCAATTTCATGAAACAAGCAAACAAACTTAGAAACAAGCGTCACGTTTTTGTTTGTTTTACAGAATCCGCTCCCCAGGCAGTGCAGCTGTCAACTTGTGTCTGGTGGCATCCGGCTCGGCGGATGCATATTACCACATGGGCATCCATTGCTGGGACATGGCCGGCGGGGCGGTGATAGTTACCGAAGCCGGGGGAGTCATCATGGACATATCAGGTGAGAGGACAGGAGCTCCTCGCAGTTTTTGCAGACTGCTGAGTCACTGAGAAAAATGAAGGAAGGAAGGAAGAACTGCTGGAGGAGATCACTGCTGTGAAAATTGGCTGCTGGAAGAGAAGTTATTGTTTTATGAATTATAAATTGTTACCAATAGTCTGTCTTTGAGCTCATAAATGCATGTGAAGCTGAGCTAAAGCTGACTGCTGCCTCTGTGCTCTAAAAATAAGTTTTGGATACGAGCTTCCTGGGAAAAACCATATTCTTGTAATTGTCTTGACATAATCATTTGTGTCAAGGCAACATGTCTTAATTAAAACATATAAACTTTGTTTCCTTGAAAGATTTTGATGATTTAAACAATTATTTTGATTGTTTGTAAAAAGGATCAAACTGTTTCTAGTTAGTTGATGTGTGTAAGTTTATTACTGACTTGTGTCTACACTGGTCTGCTCATCTAGAGGAAATAAAATAAGTTCAGAAGAAAAAGGTGTGGAAAAAAATCGAGTTCGATCASAGATTTAACAAACAATTCTCTGGACCTAACAGAGGGGCAGCTYGCTTTAAACACATTGGATAAAGCCTGCCAGCCAATCAGAAACAGGGGTGGGGGGATTGCGTCTCGACAAAACTTTCAGATTCAGCAGAAGTTTGAGTGGTGCTCAAAAAAATAATTGATTTGTTAAAACAAGCCTGAAAAATAACTGGAGACAACATTAAAGCTGGTTTGCCGAGGACAAACTGGTCCTGGGACCTTGGTGAACTGATCCCAGAGTAGTGAACAGTTTTAAGAACGATTCAGAACCTTCTGAGTCAAACGGTTCAGAAAGAGCTGCAGAAATCAGAAACTACGATTTCGTCTTGCTTGTTTTATTAAGTTGCTTGATATGAAAATGAACTCTTTAAAGGGACCTGATTACGCAAGTTTTTGGACACTTTGATGTCGCAGTACAGCGTGAACAAGCACTTCAGTACTTGTTCTGTGGTTTGTTACCTAAAAATTTCAGATTCAGCAGAAACGACAGAGGCACTTTAACAATCAACCTCATGGGTTAATGTGTAAAGCCGATGATTTGTGATGATTTACAGAAAGATAGCAAACCTACAGTTGTACATTAGTTTGACAATAAGGTCATGACCTTATTGCCAAATCGTTGTAACTGTCTTTGTCTTACCTTACCTTGTTTTGTCCAAAAYGCACAAATACGTGATTTTCTTATAATTATTGTGCATATTAAACCACGTTGTATGATTTAGACTGTGGGGTTGACAAAGAACAGGAGACAGAACTAGAAGTGACAGAGCTGGAGATATTGAGGTGCTCTTTAGGAGTGACAAGGATGAATAAGGTTAAGAATGAGATCATCAGAGGTGCAGAACAGGTTAAACTACTGGGAGATAAAGTTAAAGAGGGCAGGCTGAGATGTTTTGGACATGYCCAGAGGAGGGACAGTGGGTATATTGGTAGAAGGACGTTAGAGAGGCAGCTGTCAGTAGGACGACAAAGAGGAGAGATATGGAYGWAGTTSGAGGACATGGAGGTAGTTGGAGTGAGGACAGAGTCAGATGGAGGAGAATGACTCACTGTGGCGACTCCTGAAGAGGGAACAGCCAAAAGAAGAACACAAAGCCGTGCAAAATGCAGCCACGTGGTTTGCTGCTTGCTAGGTTTCAAACATTCAGAATTAAGTGAGACTGCGATGAAAAATTGTCCAATTTTCTTCTGCATTTAAGTCCCCAACCGCTCGCCAGTGAGATACTGACTTTAAAGTTCGTTGATCATCTGCAACCTTTTAAAACTTTTTTGTTTTGTTTTGTTTTTCTCTGCGGAACAAGGCGGGCCGTTTGACTTGATGTCTCGCAGGCTGATCGTCGCCAGCAGCAGGGCCATCGCTGAACGCATCTCCAAGGAGATATCAGAGTTTCCTGTGGGCCGGGACGACACGGAAGGCTAGAGGAACCTCCGCAACTTCCTTCAACCGAATCAAAACACACCAACACACACTCAGCTGTTTTTTTTTTTGTGCCGACAAGTCCCAAGTCCGTTTTTGCCTTAAGGATCACATTGATGCACTTACCTCTGAGGAACAGGTTTCTTAAAGCTCAGAGTTTTAGTATATATTTTGATTCAGTTGTGTAACTGTTCACAGTTTCTCTTCTGTGGTAACTTACTGTATTTTGTCAACATTTTACCCATAAAATAGGTAAATGTTCACGTTTTGACCAACAGAGTTGTTTTTTTCACTGWTATATGATTTGTTTGAAGCTATTTTTAGATCACATCTTAAGTTACAGAGCTTGCAGTTTATTCAAACTCTTGTAGATAAGTAAATGATTGCATCCAACTGCTGTACTTCATGACAAAGTATTTATAAAGTCCAAAATATATAATTGTGTGGAGAATGCTTGTGCTTCTTTTTTAAATAAAGCAAATAAAAATCACTATAAATACAATTTTATCCATGTTCTCATTCTGTTTTCGAGTGTAGTCCGAATGATTTAACTTCCTGCAGAGCCCGTTCTCTGACACGTTGCTGTCAGACACCAGAGACGTTAGATAACTGGCATCTGAACATGACTGAGCTTTTCTGCAGGAAATGTGCTGACGGAGCAAATAGTGAACTGCGTGACTAAATATGGTAGCCTTTGTGTTCGACTCCTCCCGTCTGACATATTAAACCATCAGAATTTGTCAAGGCACCGCTGTGTTGAGTTGCTTCACACAAACCGTTGTATACATTTCTCCTCCACTGTGAGAACGCAGAAAGGCTGCTGCGTCGTCCCACGAAGGCTTCAGCTGTTGTTGCAAATAACAAAATCCTCCCTCCATCCCGGCTCCTAAACCTCCTCACAACATCTTTTGCAATGGCCTGAATCCACAATGTGATGTTGCTTTGACCTAGAAAAGTGATAAATCTATAAAGTAAAGGCATGAGCAAGAAAAATGTCTCTGGCGGCAAATGGGGGGGACAAAATAAACAGAAAAGAGGACCCTGGATGCAGTAAAACTAGAAAAAACCCCAGCCAACACTACTGTTGTGATTTAGTAGAGAGATAAAAGTCATTACTCCATATAAAATCCCCCGCTGCATTTCTCCTGCCCTTTCAGTCGGTGTTGCAGACCGTGCACACTTGCAGCCCCCCACCCTCCCACGCACACACCCAGGCTCTGATATGCTCTATAAAACAAGCCCCGCTCCTACTCTCCGTGGACTCCCCCTGTTTTCCCCCAGCTTGGCTTTGCTTATAACTAACAAATGGGGTTTAGAACACTTTGCTTAAGCAAACCCAGCTTTTATGTGGCTCTAGAACTCAGCGGTGCAAGTTTATACGCAGACCTTATTGCYGATGTCAGAGCCTGTTTTTACATCACAGCTAATGCACAAATCTTTCAAATCGTTTGAAGCAGGATTCTGTGGAAAAGGTTAATACGGTGGTTGTTGCAGATAGCTCAGTTTGGACAAACAAAGATTGTTTTAAAAAGAAAAGAATCCGCTTTGGCTTGGGCCTCTCAGAATAGCCATTAGCTCATGAATCTGGTCTGTTTCTCCAAACTGTGTTTGTCCAAAGAGCTATCTACAACAGGTAAGATGTTAATTGTTTAGAACCTGTTCACAGAACTCCACTTCAAAAGAGATGATTAACAGTTCTCTGCAGCTTAAAATCTTTTATGTTTGCACATGTTTTCATTCACTTCTCCTAACAGAGGACATATGGTACTGTTCTCCTGTTTGTAGACGAGTTCTTGTCTGAGCTCTAAACTGATAACCCTTTAACACAGGAATGTCATGGGTCACTTTACGGGTCAAGGTCACAGAACCAAAGGTACAAAGAATGAGTTCCACCTGTCCATCTAACAAATTGGGCATCTTTGTTTAAAACTTTGGTGAACTGACATGCATTTGTTCAAGGAATGCCACTTCTGTTAAAATTTATTCCAGTTTTCTACTAACTTGCATTTTTGTCTCACAAATATTGGAAAGCTGTTTACATTTTTGACTTCATCCATGAAACCTGATGATGGCTTAGCACTTAAATATTTTTGTTTGAATGATCTGCAATAAAACAAGTCCTTTTAGCAGAAAAAGTGTAGGTATAATTACACAGTGAGACTGTGCAGCTCTTCTATAGGAGGGATTCTGCTTTTTTTGAAGCTCTTTTAGATTTGCTTTTCTGAGAGGAAACATTGGAGCCTCTTTGCTGATCAAAGTCCTCATCGACTCATGGACCATTTACTGTTAGTTTAGAAATGCTGTCTGACTGGACCTGAGGACATATATTATTTTAGTTCTGAGGGAAAAGCTACGCATTGTGCATTTAATCAAGGATGGTGGACAGAGTTTGATTATGTCACTGATTGTGCACAATCAGAACAGGCTCCCTCCCTGCCTTCTACTGTTGTTGGGTTTTTTAAATATGCAAATATGCATGTAAAGCACTACGCTAGATGTTTCGTCAGGAAAATCTCTTTTAGTTTTACCGCATTACTATTTGAAGTTGATCCCAACTAGGTCTTGCAAAACTATAAAGCAAGTTAACATAATTTGGAAACCAAACAGTCCCTGGCTTGAAGCATAAAATGTGAAGTTAAAATTTAAAACAGGGCCAAAGATGGATCTTTTCTTGTTATAAATGAACATACCACTGAGAGCTTTTAGTTTAAAGTGCCTGTGACATCAAATTTATGTAAAAAATACAAACGCATTTTTGGAACCTTAACATTGATAACATATTATTAGCATATTTGCATGTGAAGTTACAGGAAGTGATGACAAAGGGGGATGTCAGAATGTGAACAAAGCAGGGCTACAGCGGTCAACGACACAGACAATAGAGAAGGATCTGATTTTTTTTATTTATTATTTTGAGTCACTATCAGAGAGAGATGAAGAAGAGTCAGAGTTCAAATAAAACTTTTCTTTCTTAAAGGGGCAATATCATGTAAAATCCACTTTTTTGAGTTTTATATCATGTTATAATGTTATACTCTCATCAAAAACATGCCCAAAACCTTGCTTTGACTCATTCATGCATGTTTGAGAAATCCTGCAGCGTGTTTAGGAAGCCATGCTGAGGAGCAAAACGACAGGTGGGGACCAGAAGATCCTTTTGGGCCAAACTTCCTCATGGCAGAGTGCCCACCCACCCACATACCCCACCCCTATGAGGCGCCCATGGCTCCCGCAGGCTCTTGGGTGAAAGTGAAAGTGAAACTTAAACTATCTGCTGAGCTCGTTACTTCTCACCCAGTGAAGCTCTTTTCAGATTAAAAATACCTTTGAGGAAATGTATTTTCAGATGCCAAGTAATCTGCATCATGGCAGCCCCCCCCCCCCCCCCCCACTGAAATGGGCAAGACAGAAGCAGAAGGTGGTAGACAGAGGACAATTTCAAGGCATTTAGAAGAGGAAGTGATGAGAAGATAAGTTTGTTTTCTATTTAAACATGAAAACAGCATTTTAATAACAACTAAAGGTGACATAGATACTTTATTATGGTATAGTATTTAAATTTATTCATGAGAAACACATAATATTACCCCTTTACAGAGTTCCCCTGATGTCACTTCCTGTTTCACCTTGTTTGAGCCAAGTTCAAAAGAAAAAATTTAATCCGTGTGTGTGATGTTAAGTTTCTTAAATATAAAGATGTTTTATTTAAAGTGCATGTCACAGGCACTTTCAAGCTGATTGCATTTAGTAAAGTTGCAAACTACTGCTGAAATTTAAGACCCGTCCTTATGTTAACATATACTAAAGTTCATATTTTGTCCCCAAACATCTTAAGATTCCTCTAAAACCTAGAACTTTTAGCGTTAAATCACTCAGAAAATGAACTGCTGACCTTCAGCAGCTTCTGCATCTTGACAGTCCTCAATTATAGCTGTGATCTCGGGGAAACCAAACATCCAAAACATCCGTCATCCTGGATAAATTATTCATAACTGAGCTGCCAGGGGGACAGTAGGACTGATGGATTTGTTTTTGCCAGTCCCATCTCTTCCCTCCGCATGTCTCCCAGCGTTTTCAGAGCGTCTTTCTATTCGGCGCACAAACGAGGACAAAGAGGGTGACAACTGCTCTCCTGCCGCTCGCACCCCCACCCCTCCAACCCCTAAATAAAACTTCCAACATGATAACCCCGCACTGATCTGGTAAATCTGACACAAGTTTGTTTATTCTTGCACTGCAGTGTGCGAGTTTAGGATTTCCTGCAAAGCCACAACTTGTTTACGAGGACGGCGGCGGCTCCTGCCAGATTTCCTGTTGTTTAGCAGCGCTGCGGCCGGATGAAGCTTGATTAAATAAGTTGCTCTAAGAGGCTCTCTGCTCGTGCACTCACCTTAGCTCACTGAAGCAATCCAGACATGAGTCGAACATGTCGCAACACACGTGAACCTACGGTATGCAAGGCGTGGCTGCACAACAACAACACGTCAGAACATGTTGGTTTCCGCTTTTACAGCGCAAGCAGAGGCATCGGATCATTCTTGTTCTGATACATATTGTTCTGTGCTTACGTACATCAGCAGGGAACTGTTCTGTCTGCTGTCTGAGTAGAAAACCTTTTGAGGTCACGAAAGAGAAAAGATATGCGACATAATTTTTGTGGGACATGCAGCATTTACCACTAATTGAGCAACGTGTCTTGCAGCAAGGTCTCAATTCCTGCAACTGTCAGAGAGAAGCTTGATGATCCAGGAAATAGTCTTTAGTCCCTGAGGACTGATGTACTGCAAGTGTCTGAATGACAGAATTAAAATGTCACTTGCAGGCTGAAATATTCAAGCATTTACTGTGAAATATCCAAAACTTACTGTGGAGTTTAGTTTTTTTGCTGCTTTTTTTGATGTGGGGTTCTGCGGAGAGGTTATGAACAATGAATATCTTACCTGTAGATAGATGTTAGATGATAAGTCAACAAACACTTTTAGTCATGCTAAATAAAACATTTAGCATGGTGGCCTAGTGGAGAACACTGACGCCTCACAACAGAAGGTCCATGCAAACTAAAAAACATGCCTGTCGGGTTGCCTTCAGGCCCAGGTCTATCTTGCAAAGAGGTCTGTGACCTCAAAAGGACTTGCCTGGTTTTATACAGTTAGTAATAAATAAACAGTGGTGGGTAGCGCTAACCCAAAAATTAACTCTGCAATTTCTAAAGCACTTATGTAAATATTTAGGTCCACAACCTCAAAAGCGCTTATGCCATAGAAAAACTAGAGGAATCTAATTTTAAAACACAAGTTCAATTTGACACATACTAGCAGGCAATAATTAATGTACAATATATGCACAACACTGCCAACCAGCGATGTATGAACCCTTACACAGCTAATCCTACAACCGCCGATTGCTGGGGATGTGATTTCGTGAAACAGAACTTTGGCTCCTGGTGTAAAAATTAAAAAAGTTGTTGAGGATTGCTAGTTCGGCTGCTTCTTTAAAAAGTTG